CTCGAAGCCTGAATCATCGTTTATGAATTAAGGGTTTGGAGTGAAGGACCCATCTCTAAGGACTCTTTGGCTCCAGAATTCTGTGCATGTCTAAGCGAAGGGTTGGGGTTCAACCCTGCAGGGGACTGAGTAGTGTTCAGTCACATCTTGTGAGAGCCTTTTCAGTTTTATTTATTTATTTTTTAAAAACTTAAATTATCATATGGGTTCTTATTTTATGTTTTTTAAAAATAATTTTTTATTTTTCAATTATAGCTGACATTCAATATTATATTAATTTTAGGTGTAAAACATAGTGATTAGACATTTATATAACTTATGAAGTGATCACCCCAATAAGTCTAGTACATATCTGACCCCAATACAATTATTACAATATTATTTATTGTATTCCCTAATTCCTTCCCTTTTCACTCATTTCTCCAACCTCCCTCTTATCTGGCAACCCCCAAAATGTTCTCTGTATCTATGCGTTTGTTTCTGTTTTGTTCATTTTGTTCTTTAGATTCCACTTATAAGTGAGATCATATGGTATTTGTCTTTCTCAGTCTCACTTATTTCACTAGCATAATACCCTGTAGGTCCATCCATGCTGTTGCAAATGACAAGATTTCATTCTTTTTTATGACCCAGTAATATTCCATTGCATATATGTACCGTTTCTTCTTTATCCATTCATCTACTGATAGAGACTACATTGCCTTCATATCTTGGCCATTGTAAATAATGCTGCAATGAACATATGGATGCACATGTCTTTTTTTTTTTTAAAGATTTTTTTTTTTTATTGGGGAATTGGGGAAGGGGAACAGACAAAATGCTGTCCTCTTGCTCTTCAGTCTAGTTGTGGAGGACGTCGCCTCACTGGCCCATGTTGATGTCATTGTGCTCTTCCCCGGGTGAGGCAGATGGGTCGCTGGTCACTGAATGGCCACTCACAGTGGCTCTTGGCAGCTCACGCTGGCTGCCAGCCACTCACGGTAGCTTACGGGAGCCCACTGCAGCTCCACTGCAGCCTACGCCATCGCCGGCAACTCATGGCAGCCCAGCTCCAGGTCGAGCTGTTATTCACCATCTTAGCTATAGAGGGTGCAGTGTCACCGGCCCTCATGAGGGATCCTAACCAGGGCCCTGCTGCCCAGAGCTGGCGTCCCAAGCCAACTCTTAACCAATGTGCCACTCGGCCGGCCCTGCACATGTCTTTTTGAATTATTGTTTGGTATTAATTTGGAAAAATACCTGGAAGTGGAATTACTGGGTCCTTCTTTGTCTCTTGTTATAGGCTTTGTTTTAAAGTCTATTTTGTCTGGTATAAGTATTGCTACCACAGTATTTTTTTAATTTCATTTTTATTTTCATAAAATATCTTTTTCCCATCCCTTTCCTTTCAGTTTGTGTGTGTCTTTCAATATGAAGTGAGTCTCTAGTAGGCAGCATATGTAAGGGTCTTGTTTTCTTATCCATTTAGCCACCCTATGCCTTTTGATTAGAGCATTTAATTTATTTACATTTAAAGTAATTCTTGATAGATATGTAGTTATTGCCATTTTACTACTTATATTTTGACCTTTTTTTCTTCTTCTTCTTAAAAAAGTCCCTTTAACATTTCTTGTAATACTGGTTTGGTGGTAATGAATTCCTTTAGCTTTTTCTTGTCTGGGAAGCTCTTTATCTGTCCTTTGATTCTAAGTGATAGCTTTGCTGGGTAGAGTAATCTTGGTTGTAGGTCCTTGCTTTTCATCACTGAATATTTTATGCTAATCCCCCTGCCTGCAAAGTTTCTGTTGAGAAATCAGCTGACAGTCTTATAGGAGCTCCTTTGTAGGTAACTAACTGCTTTTCACTTGCTGCTCTAAAGATTTTCTCTTTGTCTTTAACCTTTGGCATTTTAATTATGTTGTGTCTTGGTGTGGGCCTCTTTGGGTTTATCTTTTTGGGACTCTGCACTTTCTAGGTTTGTATGTCTATTTCCTTCACCAGATTAGGGAAGTTTTCTATCATTATTTGTTCAAATAGGTTTTCAATTCCTTATTCTCTCTCTTCTCTTCTTCTGGTATCCGTATGAAGCAAATGTAATGCTTGATGTTGTCCCAGAGGCCCCTTACCTTATCCTTATTATTATTATTATTTTTGGATTCTTTTTTCTTTTTGCTGTTCTGATTGGGTGTTTTCTGCTACCTCATCTTCTAAATCACTGATGTGTTCTCTACTTCATGTAGTCTGTTGTTGATTCCCTCTAATGTAGTCTTCATTTCAGTTATTGTATTCTTTGTTTCTGATTGGTCCTTTTTCATGTTCTCTATCTCCATTTTTATGTTGCTATCCCTTTGTTAAAGTTCTTCCTGAGATCATTGAGCATCCTTATAACTAGTGTTTTGAACTCTATGTCTGGTAGATTGCTTGTCTCCATTTTGTTTAGTTCTTTTTCTGGAGTTTTGTTCTGTTCTTTCACTTGGGACATGTTTCTGTCTCCTCATTTTGGCTGCCTCCCTGTGTTTGTTTCTATGTATTAGGTAGGGCTGCTATGTGTCCAGGTCTTGATAGAGTGGCCTAATATAGTAGGTGTCCTTGGGGGCTCAGTGGCACAGTCTCCCTGGTACCTGAGTTGGGTGCTCCAGGTTTGTCCCTTGTGTGGGTTGTGTGTGCCCTCCTGTTGTAGTTGAGCTTTGATTGCTGTTGGCACATCAATGGAGGGACTGACCCTTGGGCTGATTGGTTGTGAAGACTGGCTGTGACTACACCAGAGGAGCTGTTTTGCAGGGGTTAACCCTACAGAGCAGGATTCACTTTATTGGGGCTCTGGTGCCTGCCCAGTCTGTTCTTTGGAAGTGTCATGTATAGAAGTGGTTGGTTGGTGCTCTGGTGTGGTCTGAAACTGGCCACTGGGTGTATTGGTTCTGAGGCCTCTTGGGAGGCGCTCTGGTGCTGGCAAGACCAGCTGTTGCCTGTGCCCTGCCTGGGGCCACTTAGTATGAGCCACAAGATGATTTGCAGATGGTTGCCATTGTGCTGTGCTTGGAGGTGTCTAGGAGAGGCCAAACTGTGAACTGAGGCCAGCTGCTACTAGTGCTGGGCTTTGGGCTGCCTAGCAAGAGATATAGGGCAAGCTGAAGTCAGATGCTGCTTGTTTGGGGTGTATGAATCTTTGAGAGATTTTAGGAAAGTCCACAAAATGAGGCAAGACATTCCATTTGTATGGAAAAGCTGATGGAAGTGGCTTGGGTGGGCCCACAAGTTTGGTGCAGTGGGGTCTCTGGGAATTACCAGGGCAGGGTTAATGGTGTTAGTCAGGTTGATAAAGACTTAGATATGAGGCCTGCCTGCACATGTGGTGCAGGCTGGGTGGGGGCAAGTTTCAACAAAAAAATCCAGTGGTTTCTGCCAGCACTTCTGTCTAGGAGAAAGCTGCCCCTCTAGCCCTCACCCTGCAGCCAGACAATTCAGTTCCTCCCCATATGTCCCTGGTGACTTTTGAGCTGCTGCTCCAGTCTTGGAGCTCAGAGTGAGTGAGTCTGTCAGTGAATAAGTCTGCACGTGAGCCCTTTAAGAGGAGTGCCTGGGACTGCAGCCACTCTCCATCTCACTCAGCTACAATCTCCACTGGTTTCCACAGCCAGAAGTTATGGGGACTTCACTCCCCATGGCACTGGAACCCTGGGCTGGGGATCCTAGTGTGGGGTTGGGATCCCTCACTCCTCAGTGTGGACCTCCACAGCCAAGATATCCCTCTCGATTTTTAATTGTCACACGAGGGTGTAGGATAAGCCTATTCCACATCTCCACCCCTCCTACCAGTCTTGACATTGCTTCTTCTGTATGTCCTTAGTTATAAGACTTCTGTTCAGCTAGACATTTGGCGATTCTCAGTGATAGTAGTTTAGTTGTAATTTTGATGTAGTTGTGAGAGGAGGTGAGCACAATATTTACCCCCTCTACCACCTTGGAAGCCTATGAGAGCCCCTTCAATTTTAAATTCTTGTCATCTCTGACAACTAACTTGCAAAGTTTCCTCCAAACTAATTCCTATTCAACACACACTCATAACTTTAGTGAGATTGAAAACAAGAGGCAGTTACTATCCCAAAATCATGGTCAGGTGTGGAAGGCTGTACAGTAAGATAGGATCATGTTTAAATGTTCCAGGTATACTCTTTGTCAGGCACAATGTAAATCTAGTTTATTACATATTGCATTCACAAAGTGGAAATACAGTTTATGTAGATTTAAGGAATACCAAAAGGGATGGTGTGTGTGTGTGTGTGTGTGTGTGTGTGTGTGTGTGTGTGTGTGAATACAATAAAGGGCTGGTATAGCCCATATTTGGCTTAAAAACCATTATTCTTTCTCCTTCTATAATAACAGGTTTGTTCAACATATGTATGTGTTCCATCATATACTTATTTACAGACAAAATAATAAATGAATGAGAAGATTGCCTCTTTTCTCCACAGCTCATTTTAGCCCTGTTACATGTCACAGTGGTATTTATTTTCACATAACGTCCACTCCTACAAAGACCCACAGAGCAATACCCTGTTTAGGCAGGTGGCCCCAGCAGAACACTGCATAGCAAAGGGCACTATGGGTGACCATGGCCGGAATGAAGAGGCCTAAACACATTTCCACACTGTGGAGTGTCATGTTGCAGTGTGAACGTGGACGCATGCCTAGAATCCTAAAAGCTTACAATCTGAGGGCTCGCTGTCAGAGAACAATAACAAAACGCATTCCTAGGGGCCCCCCAGCTCCTTCCCCGGGAGGTGCCAGGCTGACAGCTGCTCTGGCTCCTACCCGTGTGCCAGGGATTGGGGAGAGAGAAGCACAAATATAAAATCAGGAACAAAGACATAGGATCTATGGCTTAAAAGTGACGGTTCATGCGGCCCAAGCACCAAGCGGCGAAAGCAGAACTCAGAGAACAGCAGAGAGAACATGCGGGAACAGTAGGCAGAAGCGCACAAAACACAGCTGGAGCCACAAGGAGCCATGCTCACACTTACATGGTGTGGTCTCACACTACCTTAGTTTGCTTTAAGCATTTCCATCATCTGAGAGTTTGGGAGGGAAAAACAGAATAATTAAAGATAAAATGCATTAAGAGCTCACACTTTATTTTTAAAAGTTAAAAATAACAATGTCATACCTGGCCATCCCATTTATATTGTGCAGAGATACACAAGTGATGATTCAGTTATGAAAAGCACATTTCTGAGAGCCACACTGTGGTTTCATATCGTAGCTGTGCCACTTGCTAGCTGTGTGACCCTGGGCAAGTGTCTTATCTTTCTGTGCCTTGGTTTTCTCATCTGTTAAATGGGCACATTTGACTGTTCAGAGGTTTCAAAAATAGATGAGTCACTCTTAGAGTTGTAGATCAACTAACAGGCTGAGAATCTACCTGTTAAATAATTTTTCTCTAAAATACTCAAAACAGACATAGCTTTTACATTTCCATTTGGTTTACTCACACTTTGAGTGAATAGCTGTCTCGTTCATTTGAAACTTTATGAAAACCACCCAAAATGTCCTTCTGAGTAAGCATTTCTTTTACTGGGTGATTTGCCTTAAGCCCGGGGAGTTTGGGTTCTATAGTTTAATTTCCCACTTCCTAGGTAGTAGTGGATAATAGGTGGAATGCTGAATGTTGACTGATTTTTCCTTCAAATGAATCAGCTCCTGGGCCTTCCGGGCTCAGTGATGGAGGGTAGCAATGAAAAGAACAGAAATGAAATAGAGTCCTAGTGAAAACGATTTTTAGTTGAGAGGACTTTCAAAGAAGAAATACAAGATAGTGTAGTAATTTATTGTTAAAATCAATAAATCTAGGCTGGACGTGACCTTGGTAATTAATTATCCAGTCCACTGCTTCATTTTACAGACAAGGCCATGAAGGTTCTGAGAGGACAAGTGACACAGCCTGTTGGAGACAGTTAGGGTTAGTGGTAGGCCTCCTGACTTGTGGTCAAGCACCATTCCACCATGCTGCTTCTGTATTCAATAGAAGAACAAAGCTTTCTAAGCAATGACACTCATTAGGGATATAATACAAGTAATGTGCTCAGCCTGCCCTCTGAGTTTGGAAAGGTTTGATCTCTTCATAAGCAAGCTAAGGGCACAGTTAGGAAACTGCTTTAATTCCTCCAATAAGATAAAGATCATGTGATATATGTGGTCTGCCTCTAGGCCACTGATCCCCAAATCTGAAGAAACTATGGACCCCTTTAAAGGAAAATAATTCTCTAAGATCTATGATAAATTTTCTTAATCAGCATTTTAGAAATATTTACTTAAGAAAGCTAAAATCTCATTCTTATAACATTATTTTCAATTGAGAATTCTCACTGCAAAAAGGAAGATTTATCTTTAGAATTGACAGAATGAAAACACAAAATTTAAATGTCCTTATTAACCCAAAGACCCCCATCTCCCTGCAAGAATATTCTGTCCTTGAAATCCAATTTGAGAAGCACCGTCCTAGCTCGGAATGCATCTTGGCTCTTCGCTGGGCCCACTAAGGAACATCTTCAGTTTATATCTCCTTCTACCTTTGCTTCTTCAGTAGCAACATCTTTTGTACAGAATGGGTATTCTTTTTTTTAAAAGATTTTTATTGGGGAATTGGGGGGATGGGAACAGTGTTGGGGAATTGGGGGAAGGGGAACAGACAAGTTGCTGTCGTTTTGTTCTTTAGTCTAGTTGTGGAGGACGTTGCTTCACTGGCCCAAGTTGGCACCATCATTGCGCTCTTCCCAGGCGAGGCAGATCAGTCACCAGCTTCTGGATGGCCGTTCACGCTGGCTGCTGGCTACACACGCTGGCTGCTGGCTATACACGGTAGCCCATGGCAACCCACTGCCACAGGGGCTGCGGCCTACGCCATTGCCGGCGACTCTCGGCAGCCCAGCTCCAGGCTGAGCTGTTGTTCAGCATCTTAGCTGTAGAGGGCAGTGTCACTGGCCCTCATATGTGGGATCCGAACCGGGGCCCTCTGGCGTCCCAAGCCAGTTCTTAACTATCGCGCCACTGGGCTGGCCCCAGAATGGGTATTTTTAGTTCACATTTTTACAATGGAGACTTTGTGTCCTGTATTCCTATTACCTCATCACCCTCTCTCCCTGAATCCTAGGTCACTTTGTGATTTTTCTAAAATTTGCTTTAGATGAAAATTCTGCATAATCCTGCCTTTGTGGAATGGCACTTTTCATGAAAATGCTAGTTTCCTAAAACAAAAGACATAGAGATTTCCAATCTGCCATCCAGGAGGCATCAACCACTGTTTAGATGTCAGGAATGAAGCTCTATCAGTTAAGATGTACTTTCAACATCTCAGCTGGCCTTGTATGGTAGTTAAGTTCCCCTATCTACAACATTAATAATTTAGTATTGCCATCCTGTCCTTCCTCTGGGGTAACAGGTGGCTAAGGGCACACTTAGATTTTCCTCCAAGGGGAATTTCTCTCTCCTTGACAGTCTCTCACCATGCCGTGTCTCACAGACCACGAGGATTTCCCAGGGAACTCCCCTTGGGAATGTCTCTTTCCTGCCTACCTGCTTTCTTCTACTCCTGGATCAGAATTTTCTTTTTTTGTTAAGAATTCTTTCCCCAGTGGAAATGTAAGCATGCTAGAATTTCTTTGTGGCTCTTACAGTATTGTGGTTTTGGATTTTATGGAAAGTGATTTTTTAAAAAAGATTGCAGTGGAACCTCGTTCTACATTATTTGGGTTAAAAATATAAAAGGATGTTTCGCTATACTTGCACGTTCCAATATGGTAGGTACTAGACACACATGGCTCTTTAAATTTAAATTAATTAAAATGAAATACAATAAAATATATACTGTATATATATATATATAAATTTAGTGATTACTATATATATGTGTATATATATAAATGTAATAAATTATAAGAATGGGCTCATGCAATAATGGAAGCTGAGAAGTCCCATGATCTGCTGTCTGCAAGCTGGAGACACAGGAAAGCCAGTGATGTAATTCAGACCGAGACCAATGGCCTGAGAACCAGAGGAACCGATGGCATAAATTCTAGTCTGAATTCAAAGGCCCTAGAATCTGGGGACTGATGGTGTAGTCCCAGTCTGAGATCTAAGGCCCGAGGACCAAGGAGCTCCGATGGCCCAGGGCAGGAGAAGATGGATGTTCCCACTCAGAAAAAGAGCAAATTTGTCCTTCCCCCAACTTTGTATTCTATTCAGGCTCTCACAATTGTATTCTATTCAGGCCTGCATTAGTAAGAGTGATTTTCTTTACTTGGTCTACTGATTCAAAATGCTAATCTGGTCCATAAATACCTTCACAGACACACCCAGAAATAACATTTACCAACTATCGGAGCACCCCTTAGCTCAGTCAAGTTGACTCACAAAATTAACCATCACATAGGTTAAGTTCTGCTTCCTGGGACTGATCTCATGAACAGTTTTGTACAAAATCTAAGTGGTTAATGTGTAAACCTCTGGTTAGCAAGGCTATATTGCTTTTCCGAAGCAGCATGAGTAAATATTGAAGGCAAGTTACCAGAACATTAAACATTTATTCGTTCAACAATCACTTATTGAGCATCTAATAATATCTGTCAAACTGTGGAATATGGTAAAATAAGTATGTGATAGCACTGGAATGTGGCAGCCGGGCCATGGGGTCAGCCTGCGTTTAATCTGTTAGGCGCTAGCTGTGTCCTCAGGCAAATTATTTAATTTCTCTAAGGTTCCGTTTCCTGCATTAAATTGGGGATAATGCTAGCACTTACTTCATGGAGTTATTATGACAATAAAGTGATATAAGGTACATAGTAAACTTTCAGTAAAATTTAGTGACTATAGTATGATTAAAGAGTATATAGTTTAGTGAGGAAGATAAACTCACTTAAGCTGTACTTCTCACGGCAGAGACAGCTGGTCCAACTAATAATGAAATGATGCAAAAAGACATCAAAAGTGTAGGTGTAATCCCTGTGTGGTCCATTCAGCTGTGGGGTAGATCAGATGCCCCTGCCTTAGCCCTGCCATCTCACAAACATGGGCCAGCAGGAAATCAGAATGATGGTATATGGACAATCAAATGTGAGAGCTGACAATGATCCAAGAGGCAGTCAGTCCAATTTCCCTCCTTCAGAGATGAACAGACTAAGGTTCAGAGTGAAAGTACTTTGCCAAACTTTAAACACAACACACTGGTGGCAGAGCTGAGGTCAGAACCTGGGGTTCCTAATTCCCTGCTCAATGTTTGTTGTACATATATTGACAGTTTCCTAATAGAACAAAAATCTTTATCACAATGAAATATTAGGAAAGATGCTTATTTTACTATCATTGGGATTATTTCCAGATACATTTGCATGAGCTCCAGAACCCAGACACCACACTGGGTGCAATTTTCATTTGTCCTCAGAGGTAAACCAAAATCCTACAAGACATATGCGTAGCTCCCAGAAGGGACTCTATGCAGACTCACAATCTGTAACAGCCAAGTGTTCTTGGGATCCAGTTTGTGGTACATCGCAGAAGCTAACCTGCCTCATCGCTGCTCAGCAGGGGTAAGCCTCCAATTCTTTTTTTTTTTTTTTAAAGATTTTTATTGGGGTATTGGGGGGAAGGGAACAGTGCTGGGGAATTGGGGGAAGGGGAACAGACAAGTTGCTGTCCTTTTGTTCTTCAGTCTAGTTGTGGAGGATGTTGCTTCACTGGCCCAAGTTGGCACCATCATTGCGCTCTTCCCGGGCAAGGCAGATCAGTTGCCGGCTTCTGGATGGCCGCTCACGCTGGCTGCTGGCTACACACGGTAGCCCATGGCAACCCACTGCCACAGGGACTGCAGCCCACACCGTCGCCGGCGACTCACGGCAGCCCAGCTCCAGGTTGAGCTGTTGTTCAGCATTTTAGCTGTGGAGGGCAGTGTCACTGGCCCTCATATGTGGGATCTGAACCGGGGCCCTCTGGCATTCCAAGCCAGTTCTTAACCAGTGTGCCACTCGGCCGACCCAAGCCTCTAATTCTTTCTGGAATATCGGAATGACTAGGAGAGCACAG